GACTGTTACTAATTTCATAGCATTCAAGAATTACTCGTAAGCCTTCTATAGATTGCATGTCTCCATATACAAGTATTACATTGATTTTACTATACCATAGGAAAAGTGCTATGTTATTTAGATTATTATTCCGGAAGGTACTGGGCTCATAATTTATCATTCTTGGAATAAATTGAATGAAAGAAATGCAAATATCTCTCTGAATTAATTTTGGCCTCAGAATTCTGAAAAATCTCTCTCCAGTGGTGTCTTCTGGGATGAGAAGGCCAATCCAATTCCATCCAAAATGTTTCAAGAGCTGAATAATCCCAACATAATGAAGGTTTTCATTAGGAGTCATCCAGAAGAAAGAAGGAAACTGCATTTTATCACTCAATGCAAGGTCAAAAGAGCCATAACTGAGCTGCAGAGAAGGAATAATAACGATATAGTTTTAGACTAAATATTGCATCAAAAAATGGAAAAGTACATTTCTTTGGGACACTGTTTTTCCATAGAAAATCGTGATGGGTGAGACAAATACTAAATCTGGAGCTCAACAAATCTTTCCTCAGAGCTTTTGCAACCAGACCATCATTAGCATTCCATTCAACACTTTTTAGACAAAAATCATCTCAGTCTTTGATTGTGCTAAACAGAAATAGAGAGGAGAGAGGAATGAGTAACAAGAGAGGAGTCTTATTCATTAAGGACCTGACAATATCTGAGAGTATTCATCTGGCATTTTATATTATAAGGCTAAGATAACTAGTGCTTTACTGATAAATGTATTTAACATTGTTATGGCATTTACAGAAAGAGGAGAAAGTCAAAGAACTTGAGGCACACCCAGAAGATGGAGAGACAATATCAGACATATTATTACAGCATCAATTAACAGTGGTTGAGCACACCAGAAGTGCAAGAACCAGAATTTTGTATCTCTCTCAACACCCAAAGAATAGAAGAAGAAGAAGAAGAAGAAGAAGAAGAAGAAGAAGAAGAAGAAGAAGAAGAAGAAGAAGAAGAAGAAGAAGAAGAAGAAGAAGAAGAAGAAGAAGAAGACAGAAACAATGATACCTACACCAATTCTTACAAACTAAATATGTTTGTGCTTATTAAGAATTACTGTGGTTGTAATAGTAATTGACACCTTACATTTCTCTGGAAAGATAAATAAATAAGTAAAATCTACCCCAAATCAGTTCCCCAATATTGCAGCTGTTTTTGAGGGGATCTCTCCACTTTTAACCACCACTCTTTCCTTTCTTGTGCATTTATGTGAGCCCGGATACCTACCTGTGGAATTTTGTAGGCATTTAATATGTTGGCCATCTGTATGGTGTTCTGGGAAGGGAGATCACCAATGACAGCCATGATGTTTTGCTCCTTTCCCCTCCTGTAATTGAGGGGACAACGGCCTTCAACAAAGAAAAGAGTCAAAAGGTTCGCAGAGGCTTTCAGTGCTTGAAAACCATTGTCATAGACCTTGGAGACCAAGGTGATGTTGGGTAACAAGTTCTCATTCATGTTGATCTCCTGAATGGCAAAATTGAAGGCTAGGATATGCTGTAGGTTTTTAGGCAACGGCCTGCAAGAAGAGTTTCAGTTAATTCTACAATCTTAGAATGTGACAAGGATTGGATTTAGATAGACTTCTTGATAATGCTTTTCTCTTTGCCTAAAATGATGTATTTGTCTGCTTTAATGAGTATTAGAGAAGTGAAGAGTGCACCTATGTTCTGAAGCACTTCTTTGAAAAAGAATAAAACCTTCATTCTTAAATTTCACTAGTTAAGATATTCCAGAGGTGAGGAAAGCATGGAATGAGGAGCTTTGTTGGAATGTCTGAATGTCACTTGAGGATCATGTGGGCATCTGTGCATCATACTTTGAGAAGTTTAAAACAGGGTTTTAATGCAATTAAATGGATTATTTCTTATGTGTAGCATAGCAATGAAATTGGAGGGCAGAAACTGATGAATTGTGCCAACTGTTAAGACAATCCAAATTCTCAAAATGTACTGTAACATTTGATCACACTCATATATTTAAAAATGACCCACCTTTCTATGCCTTAAAGTACTAAGGAGACATACTGCATGATAAATAGAAATCTCAAGCAACAACAATCTATTTAAAATAAAAGTCTTGGTATATAGAAGTGTTTGCAAATAAGGAATAAATGATCAAATTCTAATGATGTCGTTATATATTATGAGAATCATAGATATATATTTATAAATTTGATTAAAATATCATGCTAGATATTTTTAACAAGGATTCTTTTTCTTTTTGCATACAAAATAAAAAAATAGAGGAACAATATTGTTAAAATTAAACTTAGGAATTTTTTTATGATCAGATTAATTCTTGTGTAGCAACATCCACCTGAAAAACCAGGAATCTACAAGACTAAGAGAGATTTATAAATAAGAATCATGCCTAAAGCAGTTTTGATTCTCATCTACAGTGGAAAAATTTTAATGTGAATCTCTTGAATTCAATCACATTAAAAAAAAACCTGAAAGGTTTCTTTCAAAAGAGTACTTGCTTTCCACGCAAGGATCCTTCTGGGTGTTCCACAAAGTGGAGTAAAGGCAATTCAGGATATATAGTAGACACAAATTCTCCAATGATTATATCATTGGAGAGGGCAGGGAAATTAAGCTTAAAATGTCTTTTGTCACCACACATGGGGTTAAATGTCTTGCTGAAAGAAGCCTGGAGGAAAAGGACAGAGAGTAGAAACACATGGCAAAGTATCTGAGTCCTTTTGAATGCCAAAGGAATTTGGCTCCAATCACAGCAGTGCAAGCACATCTTCATCACAGCACTTTGCCTGCAACAATGAAAGAGAGTCTCTGTTGGTTTTATGCATAACTAAAGTTGTAGATTACAATAATTATCATCGGAGTGATTCATAATGCAACCTACTGAGCCTCATGAAGTTATTGCTAATAGTAAAATTAAATTGTTAAGTGTTTAAATGTTCTGTGCTTTCCCCAAAAACAAGTTTAATTAATTAATTAATTCTGATAATTATGAGGTAGGCAAACCTCTTTCTCAAAGCTATTCAACTATTTTTCCAGTTGAAGAAATTATATGGTCCAAACCCATCTCTTGGCTACTCCTCATCAAGCAAGAAAGAAATGATCTTGGGATCATAACAGATTTGGAGAACCGAGTCTTGCTTTTCCTATCCAAAGAAAGCAATGCTGGTTAAAAGGAGGAAGAGATAATTTAATAGCCAGATAAATTCTCCCTTCTCCTCTCACAACCTCCTAATTCATAAAAAATACTTATTTCTTCTGCCTATCGCTTTGCTGAAATGGTCATATTGGAAAAAGAAACTCTGTAGTTTTATTAGAAAACTCTTCTAATAAAAGGGCAATTGGATGAACTGTGGACAATGGAGACCACTTTGTAGGCACCAGCTACTTAATTCATTAAAATTGGGTGTGGCTTTTCCCTCCCCCTGGACTCCTGGGCAACTTCCTGTCACCATTTTTTTCCTGTTCATTGCTGAAAGAGACACATACAGCTGCTGACTACTGCTCTATCATGGTGGCTGAATAGTTGTCTGGAAGGCTTTGATCTTGCTCTGATGTTCTACAATTGGCCACAACTAAATAGCTAATGTCATTGAGGGGTGAAGTTACCTAGAGGTAGAGCTCTCTTCTCATAATCAGGAGGCTGTGGGCTTGATCGTATGTGTAGTGGCAGATATTTCTCTCTCTGGGCACAATGAGTAATTGTCTGCTGCGAACTCTGCATAGACATCAGGCAGGGCATCTGGCCAGTAAACACTTGAGCTCCATTCAGTTGCTCCAACTCCACCCTGATGCAAGGGATTGCAAGGTTGTTAAAAGAAAAAATTAGCTAATGCCATTATAGAGAGCAGGGATGTCAAACTGCTGGCCCCCGGGCCAGATGCATCCTAGCAAAACCACACCCCGCTCAACTGCTTTGAAATTCATTGAATTTGATACTCAACACATTTTGATGTGAAAATCTTGTCTCAGTACTCATTGTTGGTGTCAGCTGCTTTGTGACTCACTATATTATTCCAAATTTGTTTGGTACTCATTGTTTGGTATTCACTGGAACCAATTAAGGATAAGTACCAAGGTACCACTGTATAAAATTGAAACCAGGAGATTTTCTTTTAGAACTATTGGATGAAGAATTTGGAAAAAAAATGGAAATTTATTACATATGTTGACAGCAGTAAGAATCCTATATGGGCAAAAATTGAAAGACTTGTTAATTCCCACAGTGGAAGAATGAGGGAAGAGAAGCATTTTATTGCTGATTTATTTACTTACTCAATTTATAAGAGCCAGTATGGTCTAGTGCAGGGGTCTTCAAACTTGGCCCTGTTATGACTTGTGGACTTCAACTCCCAGAATTCCTCAGTCAGTGTGCCTGGCTGAGGAATTCTGGGAGTTGAAGTCTACAAGTCATAAAAGGGCCAAGTTTGAAGACCCCTGGTCTAGTGGTTAAGGTATTAGGCTAGAAATCAGGATACCATGAGTTCTAGTCCATTAAAGCCAGCTGGATGATCTTGGGCAAGTTGCTCTCTATCAGCCTGTCACCTCACAGGGTTGCTGTTTAGGGAAAATAGGAGGAGGAAGATAGGTTGTATATGTTTGCCCCTTGAGTTGTTTATAGGAAAAGTTATAAATATGTGGCACAAATAAATAAATGTCACCTAACTCAAACAAAGTCACTTTGGGTGGTATATAATACAGAGTTTATGCTGAGATCATTTTCTTTATCAACAGGGATTTGATGCCCCACAACTGGCATAATGATAGTGATTAATGGAAGGAAATTGTGAGAGGTAGAATATCGATGACTGCAAAGCCATTTCAGCTCTGACAAGTTGTGCTTACTGCATAAAAGCCCTGCCAAAAGGTTGTTTTTTAATATCACTCTTTGATCCACATTTGACAACAGCACAATTATTCACTTTTATTTCCTGAACTTTTGATCAAGGTGCTGGGTGCTTGTTTATCATGGTGGTAAGATTGGGGTGGGGCTTGCCTCAAGAGCTCCTAGCTCTTTTTCTAATCTTCCTGCTTGTAAAGCTCAACCATTCCTTCAGGAAACATTTGACTCTAAAAGATCCTTATCAGCGAAAAGTTTCCACACATCCTTCAGATCTTTCAGATGAAATTATAATTGGAGAATTTGTATCCATGACACTTGGTAATTATAGTGAACAGAAGTTTAGGGAACATCCAATTTCTTCACCAGCACAAGCTTAGTAAGTAATTCTTCATTTTTATCTAAGGTGTCTCTGACCCCATAACATACTTTCCTTAAAAAACCTTCAGTGGTTTTTCATTCTTGGAAGATTCTGTTTGGGTCTGATGATCATTCTTACTTTCCCCACCTAAATGACTATTTCTAAATAATGATAGATCTCTTATTCTGTCTTCTAATTTTCTCCATGTTTTGACATTTTGTATGCCAAGCACACTTATAGCAGAAATTGAGGTGGGAGGCAGGTTTCAGCTATTAACTGAAAACACATAGCTAGCCTGTGTGTGAAGATGGATTTGCTCAGAGCCCTAATAGTTCGCTCTGTACAATTTAGATCCCCTGGTAGACAATAAGGAATAAATAATAAGATTAAAAAAATGTTAATTCTAAGATATTGTTTCATTTGTAGGGTATAGTACCTTGGGCAAGTTGAATGAGAGTAATTAGGAATTCTTACATCCCTAATTCCTTTTAAGAATTCTCATTAGAAACCCTGACAAAGTATGTCTATGGATATATTATATTTAATAATGTACTTTGGATGAGTAAAGAGAGAAGCAATTTTGTATATCCAAAGTATACATCCAAAATTTTGTGTATCCTTATATACTTTACCTGGAAGATTAGATCCTCTCTGTCTCTCTGTCTGTCTCCCCCATCTCTCTGATTTAAGAGCATAGTTTCTTTATGACATCTATAACTTGTATGAATTACACCATTGAGATATATAATAAAGTACAAAAGAAAAGAGTATCAATTTTAAAAAAGAAACCTAAAATATATAGACAGATATATATTGTGTGCATTAATGACAGAGGAAAGAAACTTATTCAATTTGCTTTAGGGGAATATCTGAAGCATTTATTTCAGAAAGAGTTTCCCATCATATAGAGAACGATATTCAGTTGAGCTCTATGGGCAAGCGATGATCTAAGCTGCAAGTCACTTAATTATTAGCCCTTAAGATCTAACATTCAAAATTCTCTTGGCAGTCTAATCCCTAAAAACTACCAGCATGTCCTTGCTTTTATTTTTGCCATCAAAGAAATCAATAAGAATACCGATCTATTACCCAACAACACATTACGGTCCCAGATTTATGACAATGCGTACAATTCATGGAGAACCACTTGGACCACTTTGGATCTTCTCTTTCTAAGAAAAGGGGATCCACTCAATTATTACTGTATCACTGAAGAGGAAGTCATGGCCAACATTGGGGGACTCACCTCTGAAAATTCTATTCACATGGCCAACATCTTAAGTACTTACAAGATTCCTCAGGTAAATGTTTGGAAATAGGTATATAGAAGGAAAAGGAGAATAACTGTTAAGTCTCAGTGGTAAAGGTAAATTCTTCTATTGTTTGAACTGTCATTTTACATCTACTTCTAACTGAGGACCTGGCTTACTGCAAGCTTGAAATGTAAACTAGAGAAATCAAATTTCTTTCATATCCTTTTCACGAATTTCAAAGTAAATACACTGATTGATTGATTGATTGATTGTCTGACTATGTGCCATCAAGTTGATGTTGATTCTTAGTGACCACATAAATATGAAAGCTACTTAACTGGTATTTCTCATCTTCAAAAGGACCACCTATGATCTTAGTTCTAGTTAACACTGTATTCAGCTCTGGGAAGGGGGGGGAGAGAGTTTTTGGGAGGGTAGGGAGGTAGTGGGAGAGGGACTTTATTGTAAAATTGCAAAAACTTTTAATTAAAAAAAGGACTACCCATGGGCAATGTAAGTGAGTCCATCCACTCACCAAACAATATACTAAAGTGGATTTTTAAGAATGTCCAGCCATTTAAAAATAGTTTATACAAAATTGAATGTTTTTCTGTGATTTGAAATGTTTTCCCCAGGTTAGTTATGGCTCCTTTGACCCCATATTAAGAAAGAAAATTGGTTTTTCTTCTTTCTACCGAATGATTCCCAATGAAGATTTTCAATACATGGGGATAGTTCAACTTCTGAAATATTTTGAATGGAATTGGGTTAGTCTAATTGTTTCAGACGATGAAAGTGGTGAAAACTTTCTTCGAACTTTGAGACCCAAGCTTCTACAAAATAATATTTGCATAGCTGGGATACAGATGATCCCAATTATGTCACTATTTTTATTAAGAGAGATACTTGAGAAAAAAATCCTTCAAATTCAATCTGTTATCTCCCAAAGTAAAATCAATGTGTTCCTTGTATATGGAAATGGCCAGTCTCTGGAAGGATTACAGATGGTTTTATACTCAATGGAAATTGGCCATAACAATCCTCTGGAGAAGGTGTGGATCACAACATGTGAATGGGATTTCACTGCTCAGAACCCTGCCAGCAATTTAGCAAAAAATCCTTCAATGGAACCCTATCATTCTCACTCCATACCAAAGATGTGCCAGGATTTCAGAATTTTCTTGACAAAATAAATCCTCTGAAGTCTACATTTTATTTCCTGTCTGAAATCTGGACATCAACATTCTTCTGCTCACTCAACATCCATATAGCTTATGGACAGAAAATGAAGAATTGCACTGGGGAAGAGAAGCTGGAGAGCCTTCCTGATTTTGTCTTTGAAATGGGGATGTCTGGTTGGAGTTATAGCATCTACAATGCTGTTTATCTTGTGGCACATTCTCTCCATGCTTTGTACTTCTGGAGGAACAAATGGAGGGGAAGCAGGAATCAAGGCCAATGGAATCTCCAAAATGTTCCTCCCTGGCAGGTACTCACAAGTAAATTGGTCAATTCATTAAAACCAAAATAATTTAGAAAACCAAAAGAGAACTAAAACATAAGCATACCTGATGTAACAACAGAGATAAATCAGTAAACACAACCAGCATTTGAAACTGCAAAGAAAAGCAAGTGAATGTTTTTAGGAGAATGTTGAGAGAATGGAGATACCTTATAAAATATTTAAAGTGAATTAGAAATTGAGAGTCCAGATGCACCAATGAGATACTGATTTAAGATTGATGCTAAATTTAACACCATAGGGAAAATGGATAATTTAATCCAGGGCTTTTCAACCAGTGATATGGGTACCACCTGTCATACATTGGCACCTGGCAGGTGGTACACAACCATCCTATAAAAGTGGTAGCGGGGGAGGGAAATGAGCTGAATCGGTGGCAGCACCACACAAGCCTAAGTGAGAGATGGCTGGAGATGCAGAGCTGTTAGGGCTCAGCGGAAGCGCCAGGATCAGTGCCGCTTTCCAACTGATTGACACTTCTTTGGGGCTGTAAGGGCTCAGTGGAAGCAACAGGATCAGCGCCAGGCTCCAGCTGGAGCTCAGCACTGATCCTGGTGCTTCTACTGACCTCTGAGGAAGCACCAATCAGCTGGAAAGCAGCACTGATGCTGGCACTTCCGCTGAGCCCTGAAGAAGCACCGATCAGCTGGAATGTTGCAGCATCTCCAGGGTCTTATGATTTACATTCAGATGCTTGGCAACTGATTCATATTTATGATGGTCACAGTGTCCCAGCAGAGGGGGCAGGGAAATAAAAACCAAACACCCCCCCCACCCCCACTGCCAATCCTCAACAGAAATGCTCCCAACAATGAAAATCTCAGACAGGAGGAAGAGCACCACCGGGCGGGCAGGTAGGTGTCTTGCTCAGCTATGGCTTGGGGGGCACTTTTTCAATGCCATTGTAACTTTGAACAGTCACTAAGTGAACTGTTGTAAGTCAAGGACTACCTGTACTTTATCCCTTTTTTCCTTTTTTTTTTTGGTCATCAAGTTTTTGACACCTTGCTAGGCGACTGGTGGTACTCGGATGTTGACATATCCTAAAAGTGGTACAATGGGTGAAAAGGTTGAAAAGCCCTGATTTACTCCATTCTGGGTTGGCTCCTTCTCAAATTAGCAAAAACAACCAGATATTTAATCCCACTATCAGAAGAGGAATAAAGAGTAAGGACTGGTTACTTCTCCCAAATGAGTAAAAAGGCCTAAATTGCTTGTAGCTGGAGTGCTCCAGAAAAGGTGTAAGTTTGTTATGATTGAGGTAGAAATAAAAAAGTGATGAACGGACTATAGCCTAATTTCTTTGAAACAAAATATTTATCCAAGTCATTCAAAAATGGGAGAAGTGAGTCTCTGGAGAATGAATTTGATAGGCAGACTTGTAGTTTCTCAGGGAACAGGAAAAAAAATCCTTTCTGTCATCTTACATAGTTTAGACGGAATGGAATGAGTCCCTGGTTTCAGATTCAGATGAAAAATATTGCTGTTATGGTTAACCATCCATGTTCTAGTTAGATAAAACCTTTTTGATTCTTGATGTACTTTGAAAACACTAATTTTCAGTACTGCATCATATCTCAATTTAAATGTCATATCACTGATGTTCCAAGTGACCGTTACTTTTTGTTACAGCAGTAACACCTTTCTCCTTCCCTCTAGCTTAATTCATTTTTGAGACAAGTCCACTTTAACAATAACGTTGGAGATGAAATATTTCTCGATGAAGAGGGATTTAGCAATAGGCTATGACCTCATCAATTTGGTGACATTTCCCAATGAATTTTTCCAGAGAGTCAAAGTTGGAAGAATCGATCCCAGTTTTCAACTTGGAAAAGAATTCATCATTAATGCAAGTGCCATTATGTGGAATCCCATGTTTCATCAGGTTGGAACTGTTATATTTTCTTACGCTTAATATCAGTATCATTTGAGTGGTAATCTGGAGAACAGCAAGGAAATTTGTTGAGAGAGCTGAATTTAGAAAATATATTGGGGAAAAAGAAAAATGCAGAAAGAGTTACCAACGTCAGATAGCTGTGAAATTAGCAATCTTTCCAAGATATTAATAACCTGATTCATAATTTCTAAAATCTATTTGTTCCAAACGTATGTAATTCAGAATTATCATCACGAGGAGAAAACTATTTCTTGTTCTGTAGACAATATTAACAGATGGTGCCAAAATCTACCTGTGTTGAGAGCTGCCATCCTGGACAAAGCAAACTAATTCAACAGGGGAAACAAATCTGTTGTTATGATTGCATTCCGTGTGCTTCAGGGAGGATCTCAACACAAATGGGTAAGTGTAGAATTCAGATCTATCTAGGAAAACATCCAGAAATTTTCTATTTTGTGCTTTCTCCCTCACATACATCTAATGACTTTATTATGGTTTATGATCTTCAGTAGTGTATTCAAAGGCTATTCTTATATTGATTTGTGCTTTTAAATCAGGGACCCCAACCCCCAAGGTGTGCCTATTCAGAACTGGGCCATGCAAGTTATGTGCAGTTATATGTATGAACACATGAAGCTCCATTTGTGTGAGCTTTGTGCACCTGCTGCCCATGCAAATGGAGCTGTGTGTGCTCACCCATTGCTTGTGCAAAACTATTCCCTCTCCCCACCACTGCCGATGCTGTTACTGTTCCAGAAAGCTGAAAAGATTGGGGACCATCATTTTAAAAGACTTTTGTAGAGTTCAATACTAACTTTTCTACATCAAATAATATATAAAGAGCAGGAAGTATGAAAAATATTAGTACAAAGTTCAAATACTGAATTTATGCTTGTGATCTTCAGATGCAGATGAATGTGAGTCCTGCCAAGAAGAACAATATCCTAACACAAATCAACAAGAATGCATTCCCAAAGTAATGACTTACCTGTCCTATAAAGATGGCCTGGGAACAGCTCTGACATCTTTGGCACTTTTTCTTTCTCTGACCACACTTATTGTGATGGCAATCTTCAGGTTACACTCGAACACTCCCATTGTGAAAGCCAACAATTGCAGCATCACATGTATCCTACTCACCTCTCTGCTGCTATGTTTTCTTTGCTCCCTCTTCTTCATAGGAAGACCTAGCAAGGAAACCTGCCTTTTAAGGCAGGCTGTGTTTGGTATCACCTTCTCTGTTGCTGTTTCCTGTGTACTGGCCAAAACGATCACTGTGGTTCTGGCTTTTGTGGCTACAAAACCAGGGAACAAGATGAGGAAATGGATGGGAAAGAGGCTAGCAATCTTGGTTATTGTGCCTTGTTCTTTGATTCAGATTGCCATCTGTGCTGTTTGGTTAGTGAACAAGCCCCCTTTTCCAGAATTAGAGAAGCATTCCCAAGTGGGTGAGATCTTAGTGAAATGCAACGAAGGCTCAGAGATGATGTTTTACATTGTGTTGGGCTACGTGGGTCTTCTGGCCATTGTCAGCTTCACAGTGGCTTTCTTTGCCAGGAAATTGCCTGACAGTTTCAATGAAGCCAAGTTCATCACTTTCAGCATGTTGGTGTTTTGCAGTGTTTGGATTTCCTTCATCCCCACCTACTTGAGCACCAAGGGCAAATTGATGGTAGCCGTGGAGATTTTCTCCATCTTAACCTCTGCTTTTGGTTTATTGAGTTGTATTTTCCTTCCCAAATGCTATATTATTATAATACATCCTGAATTAAATAAAAAGGAGCAAATGGTAAGGAAAAGGAATGATTGATACTGCATAAGAAGAAGCTAAGATTCGTAGCTTCAAAATAAAGGCACAATGCCAGGGTAGACGTAATGCAGACAATCTCTGAAAGATTCTAAGGTGAGATTGGCTCATTTGTTAGCTGAAAAATTGAGAATGGTTGAAGGCTAATTGTGTGCTTTTTCCTGAATAAAGATACGTTCTTCATTTTGTTTAATATATATCTTATTAAAAACTTTAAACTAACATAAAAGCTAACATTAAGAAAAAAGAAAAGAAAATACAATAGTGCAGAAACAAAAAATAAAAATAAATTTTAAAAGGAGCTTCAGGTTTCTTTTTTTTGTTTCAATGATTAAATGAAAATTATTGATCAAATTAATAATAATGGAAATTGGCCAAGATTCTTTGCAAAGCAGATAGTTGGTAGCTCTATTAAAGAAATTTAGTTCAGTCTTGAGATATTTTGCTTTATGTTTACACTAGGAGGTGATTGCTATTACAATTAATCTACTCCCACAAAAATAAAAGAAAATCCAGAAAGATAAGAGGCTTTTGCTTATATGGTTCAGGTCTTCTTTTTGGGAAAAAGGCGGGTGAGGCAGGAGAGTTTTGCATAAACGTTTCTGGTGTGCCATTTATACTTATTGCTGATTTGGGATCCAATGCTCATTATCAGTTGGTCTATTGCAATGGTTCTCAACCTGTGGGTCGGGACCCCATTTGGGGTCGAATGACCATTTCACGGGGGTCACCAAACAACGCAGTCTGCCATTTTCTCCATCAGGATGGATGTAGACTCCACTGATTGGGTAATTTAATCCCACCTGCTCAGACTAAGACAAAAAAACTCTGCCACGCCTCCTTCTGGGTGTGGCTTCCCAGTTTTGTCTTAGTCTCATGCTCAGACAAGACGCTTTTTAGAAGGCTCCCAGTTTAGCTTGATTCTTCCTTTTGTTCTTTTAGACTATTCAAATTGAAATTGGTTACCTTTAAATTAGATTAATTTGGCTTTCACTTCCAAATTAGGAATCCTTGGAGATTGCATTGGGGGGGGATAGGGGCTTTGCCCTTCCTCCTCTGCAGCCCTTTGGGCTTTGAAAGGGGGAGGCTGCAGACTTCGTTCGGAGGGGAGCTCCCGTTCTGCCAATCTGTAGCCTCTTTACAATTCCGACGATCAGCTGAGCAACGGAGATCAGATTTTGGCTCGGAGACCATTTGCTCGCGTCGAGACCTTGAGGGAGAATTCCTGACTGCAGCTTCGCAGCGGAGGCTGCGCTTCTTGAAACTTGTGGGGGCTACTCCAGGTGTGGGCCTTGGCTGCATTTGAGCAGACCAAGGTGTTTTTAACTGGCCCTAAGGCCTAGAAGGAAGAGCGAAGAGATTCCTTTGTTAACCACCTGTTTCTCAGTTTAGCCAGTGACCTTTTGTCACAAGGCCTGTACAGACAGTATTAGAACTCTGTCTGGCTGTTCTTGCCATTGCCTTCTGTTCAGAGCGAGGATCGGTTTTCCATCTCTGACTGTGATCTGCGTGTTGGGTCCTCCCCCCATTTCTAGGTACAACTGTCCAGGAATACCTAGACTGCAATGGCAGACAGCTCCTCGCCCCAGCTTCTCAGTCCAGTGTCTCCCCCCCCCCCCGCTCAAGCAAAGCTTCACAGTGGCTTTCTTTGCCAGGAAACTGCCTGACAGTTTCAATGAAGCCAAGTTCATCACTTTCAGCATGTTGGTGTTTTGCAGTGTTTGGATTTCCTTCATCCCCACCTACTTGAGCACCAAGGGCAAATTGATGGTAGCCGTGGAGATTTTCTCCGTCTTAACCTCTGCTTTTGGTTTATTGAGTTGTATTTTCCTTCCCAAATGCTATATTATTGTAATACATCCTGAATTAAATAAAAAGGAGCAAATGGTAAGGAAAAGGAATGATTGATAGTGCATAAGAAGAAGCTAAGATTCGTAGCTTCAAAATAAAGGCACAATGCCAGGGTAGACGTAATGCAGACAATCTCTGAAAGATTCTAAGGTGAGATTGGCTCATTTGTTAGCTGAAAAATTGAGAATGGTTGAAGGCTAATTGTGTGCTTTTTGCTGAATAAAGATACGTTCTTCATTTTGTTTAATATATATATTACTAAAAGCTTTAAACTAACATAAAAACTAACATTAAGAAAAAAGAAAAGAAAATACAATAGTGCAGAAACAAAAAATAAAAATAAATTTAAAAAGGAGCTTCAAGTTTTTTTGTTTCAATGATTAATTGAAAATTATTGATCAAATTAATAATAATGGAAATTGGCCAAGATTCTTTGCAAAGCAGATAGTTGGTAGCTCTATTAAAGAAATTAAGTTCAGTCTTGTGTACAGGAAGTTTATCGACTGAGTTATTTTGCTTTCTGTTGAAACTAGGAGGTGATTCTATTAAAATTAATCTAATCCCACAAAAATAAAAGAAATTCCAGAAATATAAGAGGCTGTTACTTATATGGTTCAAGTCTTCTTTTTGAGAAAAAGGCGGGTGAGGCAGGAGAATTTTGCATAAAGTTTGCTGGTGTGCCATTTATACTTATTGCTGATTTCGGATCCAATGCTCATTATCAGTTGGTCTATTGCAACGGACATACTTGGAACTGCCCTTCAAAAGCATTTGGAAGCTGTGTCTGGTTTGCAGTGCAATTGTATTTGTCATTTTTTAGTATGAGTATACTGGCCCACATTAAAACTGAAATTCTGTTGCCTGCTCTCAAAAGAAAGTATATATCTATCCATACACATGCATAACACATATATACACATGATATACAGTGGGGCAATTGTGCAAGTTCTCCCACTTAAAAAGATGAGAGAGGCCTGTAATTGTCATCATAGGTAGACCTCAACTATGAGAGACAAAATGAGCAAACAAATCCAGACAAATCACATTGTCTGATTTGGAAAGAATTTATTTGCAAATTATGGTGGAAAATAAGTATTTGGTCAATATCAAAAGTTCATCTCAATACTTTGTTATATATCCTTTGTTGGCAATGACAGAGGTCAAATGTTTTCTGTAAGTCTTCACAAGGTTGGCACACACTGTTGCTGGTATTTTGGCCCATTCCTTCATGCAGATCTCCTCTAGAGCATTGATGTTTTGGGGCTGTCACTGGGCAACACAGACTTTCAACTCCCTCCAAAGATTTTCTATGGGGTTGAGATCTGGAGACTGGCTAGGCCACTCCAAAACCTTGAAATGCTTCTTACGAAGCCACTCCTTCATTGCTCGGGCAGTGTGTTTGGGATCATTGTCATGCTGAAAGACCCAGCCATATTTCATCTTCAATGCCCTTGCTGATGGAAGGAGGTTTGCACTCAAAATCTCATGATACATGGCCCCATTCATTCTTTCCTGTACATGGATCAGTCGTCCTAGTCCCTTTGCAGAGAAACAGCCCCAAAGCATGATGTTGCCACCTCCATGCTTCACAGTAGGTATGGTGTTGTTTGGATGCAACTCAGCATTCTCTCTCCTCCAAACACGACGAGTTGTGTTTCTACCAAACAGTTCTACTTTGGTTTCATCTGACCATAGGACATTTTCCCAATTCTCTTCTGGATCATCCAAATGCTCTCTAGCAAACTTCACAAGGGCCCGGACATGTACTGGCTTAAGCAGGGGGACATGTTTGGCACTGCAGAATCTTAGTCCCTGGCGGCGTAGTGTGTTACTGATGGTTGCCTTTGTTACGTTGGTCCCAGCTCTCTGCAGGTCATTCACTAGGTCCCCCCGTGTGGTTCTGGGATTTTTGCTCACCGTTCTTGTGATCATGTTGACCCCAAGGGGTGAGATCTTGCGTGGAGCCCCAGATCGAGGGAGATTATCAGTGGTCTTGTATGTCTTCCATTTTCTAATTATTGCTCCCACAGTTGATTTCTTCACACCAAGCTGCTTGCCTATTGCAGATTCAGTCTTCCCAGCCTGGTGCAGTTTTACAATTTTGTTTCTGGTGTCCTTTCACAATACTGGAGTTTGGAGTGTGACCGTTTGAGGTTGTGGACAGATGTCTTTTATACTGATAACAAGTTCAAACAGGTGCCATTAATACAGGTAATGAATGGAGGACAGAGGAGCCTCTTAAAGAAGAAGTTACAGGTCTGTGAGAGCCAGAAATCTTGCTTGTTTGTAGGTGACCAAATACTTATTTTCCATTATAATTTGCAAATAAATTCTTTCCAAATCAGACAATGTGATTGTCTGAATTTGTTTTCTCATTTTGTCTCTCATATTTGCGGTCTACCTATGATGACAATTACAGGCCTCTCTCATCTTTTTAAGTGGGAGAACTTGCACAATTGGTGGCTGAATAAATACTTTTTTGCCCCACTTTTTTCCCCATATAGTGGAAGGAGGAAGGTTGAGAGTTCACAAGGTTGATACTATATGGAACAAAAGTGAAACTGAATCTGGATGTTCTGTTTTGGATACCCAGAATCCTCCTCCCAGAAGGTAACAAGGAAAACAGGTTATGAAGTGGATATGTAGTGTCTCAGACAATATTGCGGACCCTGCTCAAGCAATGCTTATATGCTATGTCCTGGATTGAAGGAAGGGAACTGCCAATAATCTTTTCTGCCATCCTCACCATTCTCTGCATAGCCTTCCAGTCTGAAGCAGTAATGCTTCCAAACCAGACTGTAATGCAATATGACATGATGCTCTTGATCAAATGTTGGTTGTCATTTTTAAACTGCTACATGATACACAGTAATGTGCAGGGCTGCCTGTTTTCAGTGGTGTCACAGTTCTGGCAGGTTGGGAAATTCTGGATCCATTTTGTGAAAGAATGATACCGAGTGGGATCCTGGACATATGTCTTCTGTACTGTGAAGCTTCTTTCCAAAATTCAGATGGTCCCAACCATGTGGACTTTCTAGAAATCTTGAAGACTTGGTTCCTTCTTCAGTCATTGGGGCTAGAATATTGGTGGAGTCCTTTAATGGAGGTGGAAGTTGTTTAATTCTTATATGTCTTGTAAGAGACTCAATTGATTTTTAAATGATGTTTCCAATGGTGTTTATATTTTGCTTTTATATATACTTTATTAGCTGCTCAGATATATTTGTGTATGGATGGGAAGCTATATAGGTTTGCTAAATGAATGCAGATTTAAATACTAACAAGATTAGATACCTTGTTCTATTCATCTGACAAAGCATTAAGAATTATATTGAGAGTTTGGTTACTACTTTTCAAGGGAAGACTCCTGAAGTTGGGCAAAGATTTTTTAGAGCAGGATGGGACAATCTGGAGAATGATGGATATTTTGGTAGAAAGTTCAAGATCCCTGTTTGCATGCAGTGGTGACAGGGTCCTAGAATGCTCCTTCTCAGCTCAGTGAAAGTGTTCTCTTCCCATCTCTGAACCTGCCTACCTTTCCCCCAGTATGGGGGAGGACACAGATAAATCCATACTGTCTAAACAATGGACAGGCATGGTATTGGTGCGATTATACAAGCCAGATCTCTTTATCCTGCACTATCATATGCATCTGCCTTCTCACAAGTCCTCTGCTGATGGAACTGCTTTTGAACATAGGCTTAACACATTTCTTGAATTGGAGATTGACTCAGAGGCCTGGGGT